GAGCTGGCCACACACACACACAAATAAATAAATATTAAAAAAAAAAAAAAAAAAAAAGAGCACACCATGCTACCTGGCTTTCACAGAGAGCTCACCACCCACCAGTCCTGTTACAGCCTGGGAAAGGGCTCTTGGAGGAACCATCCCTCCACAGTTACACAGCCACAACCCATTAAGGGACCTGACAGAGCTGGGACTTAGCTCCAGGCAGTCAGTCCAGCGTGCACTCCTACAAATGCAACGTTCAACCACTTCCCAGGTTGTGGAGTTTGGCACAAGGAGTATCCCTGAGATGAAAAGGTAGAAGCATTCAATGATGGTAGACCAGAAGCTCTCAATCCTGGCTGCATATTAGGTCCTTTGGGGATGCTTCTAAAACTATCAATGCCCAGACCTCAGATCCAGGATATTGCTTTCCAAGTAGTTTTAATGAGTAGCTATGGCCAAGACCTGCTGGGCTAGCTTAAGGGGAGGCAGGGCTGGAAATGAGGGCTGGAATTATTCTAAGAGGTAGAAGTGCAAGGCTGAAGTATGCACTTCAACTTTATTCTGCAGGTAAGGAAACCACTAGGAAAGGGAAACGATAGGATCAGAAGTATGCAGTAATTGAAGTACATAGTAATTAGCCATATTTAGCTGTTTCACAATATATACACTCAAAACATTTCATTGTACACTGTAAATATGTACACTTTTGTCAATGGTGTCTTAACAAAGTTGGGAATGAAGTACTTAGGATTTATTTATTTTTTGCAGTACTGGGGATTGGACTCAGGACCCTGTACTGCCAGGCAAGTGCCTATTCTACTGAGCTATCTCCCCAGACCCTTCAAGTAGATAGGATCTCAGCGCTTGGGAGGCTGAGGCAGGAGGATCTCTACAGGTTTGAGACCAGCCTAAACTAGAAAATGACTTCAAGGCCAACCTGAACTGTATAGTGAGACCCCGATTCAAAGAATAAAGAATAGGGGCCGGGAGATGGCTCAGTGGAATAAGTGCTTCCCTGGCAAGCTCAAGGCTGTGAGTTCAATCCCTAGTTCCACCAAAAAAAAAAAAACAAAAAAAACCAAAAACAACAACAACAACAACAACAAAACTAGACGAAAGAAAGAAAAGAAAAATAGGCAAATAGGTTCATTATTCTGGCAGAATAAATAAAGATGGATATGGGTTTGGGGAGACGCTGAATCAAATGTAGCATGAAGGAGGGTGACACTTTTTTTTTTTTTCTGTGAACCGGGGATCGAACTCAAGTCTTCATGCTTGCCAGGGAAGCGCTTATTCCACTGAGCCATCACCCCGACCCCCAGGGTGACACCTTCTAATGAGAAGTTAGGAAAAGCTCACCTAGGGGCTGGGTGATGGCTCAGTGGAATAAGCGCTTCCCTGGCAAGCGCAAGGGCCTGGGTTCAATCCCTAAAGAGTTATGGAAGGGCCGGGGAGACAGCTCAGTGGAACGTGCTTGCCTGAAGTGTAAGGCCCGCCCGCCACGAGGGCCCACTGAGGCAGTTCCTCGTGACGCTTCAACGCTGCGATCTGACATGGTGGAGAATTAACGCCGCCTGTCGCGGCTGCATCATCTTCCATGTGTCTTTTTCAAAGTATTTTTTTTT